CTCTCTCTCTCTCTCTCTCTCTCTCTCTCTCTCTCTCTCTCTCTCTCTCTCTCTCTCTCTCTCTCTCTCTCTCTCTCTCTCTCTCTCCCCTGGCTCTCTCTCTGTCTCTCTCTCGCGCGCGTGCGCACGTTGGACGTCATGCACATCACACGTTCGTCGCATTATGAGTTTTCGCTCATGCAGCAAATGAGTGTGTCCGAGTGAGACGACCCTCTTTATAGTCGTTCCCCCTGACCCTCCCCAAGTCGTCCGCCCCACACCGGTACCCCGAAAACGCCTTGCACAACGTCGGGGTCGTTTTTTAATTTTTTTCAAGTAAAAAAAAAAAAACTTATGAAGGGCATGAGCTGATACCCAACTGGCCATTGTACCACCCCAAACCCTCAGAAACCCCGAACCCCGTCCCCAAATGCGCGAAATCCCAGTTCGCAAAACCCGTTTATTCGCATCTAACGTGCGTTTAAACGGGATTCGGCGTGAATTTAAGGCGAAACCTGCGTTGAATCGAAAATCGGACACATAGGCATCGATTGGTTATCTGCCAACAGGACGACTATTGAGCACTTAGGGGGAGGGGAAAGACCTCATGGAGAGACAAGAAGACAAAAGGAAGGAGTCGGAATCGAAGCCTCATTTGGAAGTACAGTCAGACCCAATGGTGGACCCACTCCTGGAAGTCTTTGGTCCATCCTCGATGGAGGTGGAACCCATTCCCGGAACCCCCCTGCCCCTGGAGATCGAGATGGCGGAAGCGTCAGAGTTAGGGGAGGAACAGGCTGGCCAACAATAGGAGAGGGTAAAAGAAGCTCGCACCCAGTAGTGGTTGAAAAAAGTAGCGGATTGGCTGATGGAAAATCTTCAAATGAAATACGGAAGTCAGAACGAAGAATTTTGGGATGGAAAATACAGAGATCTAATCCCCCTCCTAGAAAACGGTGCAAAACAGTGCAAGTCTAAAAACAGCCCTGGAAAATGGGTTGCCGGAAGGCTTAAACGAGCAGGAAGTCTGCCATAAAATTCTGCATATTGTGGTTAACAGATTTCAACCTGCGGATCCAGACTGCAGTGCCCGTACCTCTCCAGACCTCGTTATAATCCCTACACCACAAGGGACAAAACACCCAACCCCCCCCCCCCCCCCCCCCCCCACCCACGGAGGAGACCCCGAGCATGGAAGCAACCAACAAAAAAGCAACAGGTACGACAAACAACAACAAGTTGGTTCAACAGGAACAGGGCGGACAAACCAATGGGAACGTAGCAGAACAAGGGGATGATGGGAAGGAGACGACGAATAACCAGAAAAGGGGGGACACTCAGGGCGATGTTGAGGATGGTGGGAAGGAGATAGAGGGCCGAAAAGGAGATCACAACAAAGAGGGGCAAAAGATGAATGTGGAGACAGAGAACGGTGGTATACAGGGGATGGAAGGAAGAAGGAAAAGAAAATAAAGAAAATAGAGCGGTGGAAGAGGTACAGATACGGGAAGAGAAATAACGTAATGCAACAGAACTCGCAGAGGAGGAAGGTCTCTGCCTGGCATTGGCTGCATGAAAGCCTGAATCAATAACGGGCCAGGAACAAAAGAAACAATAGAAGTTGCAGACGCACTCTTCCCCCCCCGCCCGAAACCCCCGGATGTGGACTTGACTAGCAGGCGACAAAAAACGCGCCACCTGCTAGAAAAAAGGGACGCCTTGCAAGGACCACTAGACAAGGGTCTAGTCTTTTAGCCGGTTAGCTCCAAAGGGAGGGCATGGGAAATCGGCCTCTTCATGACACCAGGGGTGACACATGGTGAAATCACCATTAAAGGACGCTCGTCCCTCCTCCTTTCCCTTTCATCTTAGGGAGGTGGCTCCACCCTTCTTAAGTCAGATATTGCTCAGCT